AGAAGAAGAAGAAGAAGAAGAAGAAGAAGAAGAAGAAGAAGAAGAAGGAGAAGCAGCTACTCTTAGCCCAGTCCAAACTCTCAAGTCTCCTTCAGCACACAAGGTCTCACTACATAGCTGCATAATGTGTCTTCCCATCCTTATTAGTGACTAGCAGCCTCTACATCAAATGAAATGTTAATTACACACCACACATTCACTGGACATGTGTTGAAAATCTTCGAACAGTTACATAGCTTCTCCTTTTAGGGACTTAGACTGCTACATTGATGGCTCCCAATTTATCACACCTTTCATAGTCCTCCCAAGTGGTCTGCTTGTGTGAACTGTTCAAACCTGTGATGCGAAGAGAAAGTTGCTAAGTACCTGCCTGCGGGGCTTTGTCTTTTTGGAGCACAGCTGCTGTGTGTTAAGCAAGTCTAAACTGTCCTGCTAGAGAGAGGGGCCCATGAGGAAGAGAAGCAACGCATTGCAGCCCAGCCAAGTACTGAATGGAGAGGCAAGAGTGTTCCTGGGCCCCACTCCATGGTGAAGAATAAATTCTCCAGTGGAAGAGTCATGACAACAAATCAGCACTGTTTCAGAATGCCAAGTTTTACACTAGTCTGTTAGGCAGTAATTACGGATATAGATTTCTCCCATTTCAAGACTTAGGGACGAGGTCAGAATGTGAGGAGAGAGGAAGGAGAATGGAAGAGTGTGCAATGGAACTCTGGAGAATTAAGGATTGTGGGCTGCTGTGACCTCCAAATGGGACATCTCTGTCACATTCCATCACCACAAGGCACTGGGAAGATCCAAATACAAAAGCTGGAAAACTTAACAACCAGAGGTGTGGGAGGACTGGTGCAAATGGGTGTGCTCTGGACGTGACAGGACCGCTGCCCTCACGAACTCTCAGTATAGAGCAAAAGTGTGTGCACCGTTCCGCACCTTGACCTGACACACTGACAGTGGCTGGCTGCTGGGTCAGGGGGAGTCGTCTTTCCATAAATATGTGGCCGTGGTACGTTGGCCATGCATCTGTGGATGGTCCCACGCCTATGAGCTGGACTCCATGTGTTATTAAAAAAAATAATTTTGCAGTGGGATGTTTTTATTATTTTTTTATCCATTTATTTATTTTTTAAAACGCTGAGCAGCACTGCTACACACCTTTAATCTCAGCACTCGGGTGCTTTTATATAGTTGAAAGGTTTTTTTTTAATTAAAAATGTTTATTTTTACAAAGAACATGAATTTGGATCTAAGAATAGGTAGCAGGAGGGTTGGATGGGAAATATGATTTAAAAAAACATTGTAGTATTATATAAAATTCTCAAAGAATTAATAATTTTGTTTTCAAAACAGAATCTTGGGCTAGGAATGTAATCCAGCCAGCGAACTACTAGCAGCACAAGCATAGGGCCTGAGGTCAGTTTGTCCAAATCCACAGACATAAAACACTAAGAGTGCCTCCTGCATAGAGCATGTACTTATGACAATAATGGTGCGTGGGTGCAGATTCGCTGACTGCGCAGGTTCTGATGACAGAGGAAATAGCCCATGTGTAGAGCCACACGGGAAATCCACACTCTCCTTCAATTTTGTTGTCAACTTCAAACTCTTATTTTTTTAAGTATTTATTTTTAATACTTTATTTTTATTTTTATCTTCATTGGTGTTTCACTTCCATGTATATGTATGTGAGGATGTCAGAAGCCCTGGAACTGGAGTTAGAGACAGGTGTGAGCTGCTGTGTGGGTGTTGAGAGTTGAACCCAGGTCCTCCGGAAGAGCAGCCAGTGCTCTTAACCACTGACCTATCTCTCCAGTCCCCTACCTCAAACTCTTTTAAAATAGTCTTTGTTACAAAGAGTTTAATGTCTCTATATTGTCTGTAGTTGGTACGTGATATCTCAATTTTAACTGTCTTGGGGTAAAGCATATCAGAACTGAGTTGTATCTCTCTAAATGAAGTCAGGGCACATAGTGAAAAAAAAACATAGTGTACAGAACTCTGGCTAGCAGAAGTGGTGGGGGGTCTTTGTACACAGCACACTGGAGTCCAGGAGGGTGAGATGTGGCCAGCACTGTATAAGTGACATGAGACACACCTACCTGCTGGCAAAGTGTTGTTACACCAAGCTAATGTGGTTAAGGTAGACTGCATTGGCTCTATCCATTTAATTATGTGTAATTTGAAAACATGAGATTTTAAATGGCTGTATGAAATCTGTGGTCATATTCAGGATTATTTGACTACATAGTCTAAAGAGAAAGCATTTTTTAAAATGTTTAAGTTTAGAAGCTTTGAAAATATGTTCTTTGGCATGTTGAAATATTGACTCTTGCCATTTGAGTTGCTATTAAATTCCAAGTATAGTGTGTGTGTGTGTGTGTGTGTGTGTGTGTGTGTGTGTGTGTGTGTGTGTTTATATCAGCAGAAAACACAAAGTAATTGAGTTTCAGGGGACTAGGCTCTTTGTTACCTAATTCATACCTAAAACCCACCATAACCATGCTGATAGATTATAAATAACCTTCATGTTTTAGTTTCATGTCTGCATCTCCCTAACTTC